TATATATATATATTCAAGTAAAATTTCAAAGTTAAAAAATATATATGAAGTGTGTAATGTCATAACATTGTAAATGACATTTTCTCTACATACATTTTATTGAAGAATTGAATTCTAAATGCAATGTTTTCTGTTGCAAAAAATATTGTGATGATAGTGGCATTTAAAGTGGCTGTATTTTTAAGTTGGATTTATGTGAAGCCATGTTTAAAGTGACAAAGTGCAAGTCACATGACTTTTGGCACTTAAAATATTACAGCTTATATTTACATAATTTTGATATTCCAGATAATTTGTAATATAGTGAGATTTTTACCATTTTATTGTAAAATTGAAATAAATTCATTTACTAGAAAAAGTATTTTTTATCTTTCCTGAAAAATTTATTTTTTGGTATTAACATTATGGCATTTGCATGCTTCATATATAATATATATATTTCTTATGTTTGAAATTTAAATTTATTATTAATATGCACTGTGAAATATCAATATATTTCATAGTGCATAATAAAATATATCAATAACATTATTGTTCATTTTAATAATTATATTTAAAATTACCCCAAAACAACCTTAAAATATTGCAAAAACTTTACTAACTTGAACATTTTCAATAATTTTTAATGACCTTCAAGTAGAATACAAAGCAGAATGCCAAACAGAAGTTGAAACGCTAACATTCGAAAAACTTCTAGTTAATAAATTTTTTGCTGTATTGTAAGATTGTTTGGGTGTGTTTGCTACTGTACACAGGAGCTATATTTAAAATTATTTAAATTTGTTTCTATACCAGTTTTTTGTTTATATATTTATTAAAATGAGTTATTTTCACATTAATGACAGTAAATTTTAATAAATTAACAGAAATTTATTCTACTTGTTATCTGTGAAGCTTGTAGAATAAAATTAATTTCAGCAAAACTATTACTGAAAATCTTATTCTAACTATTTATATATTTAACAAAATGTATTTCAATTAAAATTTCATTATCAAAACTACTAATAAAGGATAACAATTAAATAAATACTCTCACCAAATTTAATTTTTTGTCCTTTACATTCTAAAAAATATCAAATTTGTATTTACTTAAAAGAGAAATTACTTTATTCATTTAATATAGTGTTATACATTACATTATTTTTATAATTAAATTGGAATTTTATTTTAAAATTTTATTGTTAAAATTCATTAATACTAAAACAGTTTTGAGATATTTTAGGTTTGAATAATAAACTTTAATTAGTAAAGCTTTTAAAGAAAGATAATTCATTAGAGTAAATAAAAAAGAAGAAAAAAACAAAAATTATAAATATTGAATAGAATAACAACAAAAATTTCAAAAACAAATAATTTGAATTGTATATAATATTTTCAGTTGTATTTTGTACTCTTTCTGAAAATAGTTAATGCAATTAAAATTCAAGTTATTATTAATACAATTAATTTTTCTTTAAATTTACAAATTATTATTATTTATAAACACTATCAAATACATTTACATAAATAAGCATTAATGATAAAATTTTTTATAATGATATTCCATTTATGTATGCAGAATATCGAATAATACATGTATATACTATATTTCCTCAATTAAACCCAGCAGGTTTATTTTTAAAACTTATATATCCCAGAGTTTATTGAAGACCAGAGATTCTTTCAAATTCAGGATTTACTATTTTTCAACAGATGAATGGGTAAAAATTGAAATAAATACCTTAATTATTAGTATGTTTTCCAACAATCAAAACCATTTATTGACTATATTTATGGATTACAGTTATAATATTTGAAATAATTACTATTTTGATAATTAAAGCAATTCAGCATTGTCTAATTATGCTATTATGTTGTCATTCATGTCTGCTTTGATGTTAGAATCAGGATCTTGACTATCATCTTGGTACAAACTCAACATCTCTTTTCAATTTAAGTTTACTTAATTACCCTTGGGCTAATAAGCTCTCAACTTATGAATTTGAATGCAATTTCCCACACTCAATATTCAACAATATTTATAATTTTATTTCAAAAAATATTTCCATATCCCTTGAAATAGAAAGTGCTATCCAACTCTAGACAATTGTTAAGAAGTAGAAATTTAGTTAAATTTTTTACCTGTCACTCTAAATTACCCTTCCTACACAGTGCTGTACTTAAATATATTTCACATGCTTTTCAACCTGGGATTTATTTTCAAAAGCACACTTATTTTCTGGGGATTTATTCACAGAACAGGATATATTTGAATTGAGGAAATATGGTATGTGTTTTATGTGTGTGTGAACTGCAACCTATTCAGTTAATATCAGTGCCTAGTGCTAAGCTAAACCACAGGCCTGATACAGGCTTTTTAAAAAATGGAGCGTTAAAAAATAGACATTATTTTTTTATAATGTAGTTTATTAACTTTTACAATATAAGTATAGAGTAACACAATATAGTAGATTAAAGTGGAACTGAATTGGGACAAAAAAAAATATTATTTTACTAACTTAATCAAATTCTTCCTACATAGGTGTTAAACACCCAAAAATTGCCATGTATACAGCATTGCGAGATCAAGATTAAGGCTTAGCTACAGAAAACTGCTACTATAGTTATGTGCTGTTTACTCTGTAAATTTCCTAATTATGTGGAATGTGTTAAAGTTTGTGTACTTTCTATAATGTGATATATGTACTGTTGTGAAACCTTAATGTTTCAAGATGTTTGTACAATGTATGTGATTATGTTTTGTTTGTCAATAAATGTAATGTTCTGATCTGTTGTGATGAATTGTTTTGTCTGTGATTGTGGTACAGTCATAGTATATTTTGTGTTTGTTGTTTTCTATGACTATCTGACACCTATCTTTGTAATATGGTTTCTGGGTGTATAATAGTTTGTGTTTAAGCTTTTGATGTATTATATTGTTTGTTACATCAATGTAAGTAGCAGGGCTGTGGAGTCGTAGTCAGAGTCAGGAGGAATTTCTGGCACATTCAGAAAAAATGTGTTGACTCCGACTCCCGCATTTTAAATTTACTTTAGTTTTTTTTATTTAAACAAAAGAAAATTTATTATATATTTATTAATTTTTTAAAATCATCTTATATTTTGTAATAATTCGTTTATTTTAAATACAAAATACATCAATTTAATTTATTAAATATGTAGCATTCTTTGTAGTATTTGATTTTAGTAGTAAAATTATTTTGACCTAATTGAATTTAAATAATTTGGATCATTCCTTTATTATCTCTGCTCTAAGTAAGTACTCTATTTTTCTGAATGAGCCAGACTAATTGATCAGAGTTCATATTTTTCTTTTCTGAACAAAGGCTGTAGCTAGATCACACACTTAATTGAACTAACTATTCTGGAAGGGTAAAATTGAAGTGCAAATGCTGTTGAATATATGTAGATGTAGAATTTTATCGCCCACTTTCTCCTCTTATTAAATATTTGTTAAAAATTAATTTTTTTATATAAATAAATATTAAAAATACTAACTACAAAAGTGGTTTTTTCAAGCTCTGATGGTCCATAAAACAAAGACAAGTGTAAATAACAAAGTGAATTTATTACCAAAAGTTAGGTACAGTACAAACATCGTTATTTTTTGACATAATCACCATGAAGATTGAGGCATTTGTCATATCTGTGGATGAGTTTTTCCATCTCCTTGTCATAGAATGTTGCCACCAATGAATTGAGATGGCCTTAACAACATTATTTTGAAGATCGTAATTAATTCATTAGTCTCAAACCACTGCCCTGCCAGCCACGTTTTCAGTTCAGGAAAGAGGTGGAAGTCTTCAACACCTTTAAACACCCAGTGTATAGCCCCGATTTAGCACTGAGCGACTTCCACCTCTTTCCTGAACAGAAAAAGTGGCTAGGATGGCAGAGGTTCGAGACTAATGATGATCTTCAAAACAAGGTTAGGGTCCATCTCGAGTCATTGGCGGCAACATTCTATGACAAGGGAATGGAAAAGCTCATCCACAGATATAACAAATTCCTCAATCTTCACGGTGATTATGTCGAAAAGTAACCATGTCTGTACCTAACTTTTGGTAATAAATTCATTTTGTTATTTACACTTGTCTTTGTTTTATGGATCATTGGAGCTTGAAAAACAGCCTACGTATAAGTATTTGGGTAAATGCCCAGAGCTCCTTTTAGAGTTCAGAGTACAATACTCCTATTAGCACCTCTGCCCCCCATAAAATGACTTGATATTTAATTTTGCCAGATTCGAGAGTTGGCCTACTAAAATTATCAGAAGCCGGAGTCAGAGTCGAGTGTTTTTTTACCGACTCCACAGCCCTGGTAAGTAGTCAGTCTGTGTGTACAGCTTGCAACTCAATGTAATGTATTTTATAGTTTTGTGTGTGATGTGGCATTTCCTACAAAAGTTTTCTGTAAGTGACATGTCTTTTAAAATGTGCTTTCTGTAGCTTTTGTATTTATAATCTGGTCTTATATGGTAATTACGAACCCTTTTGTCTCTCCAAAGAGGCATCCATGAGACAGCCAGCAGTTTAATGCAATTCTGTCAACATGATCCTGGATGAGATCATTGGGATGACTATTGTAAAGCTCATGAGCCTAGGATTGTCTGATGATGTCTGTGTCTGTTGTATATTGTGTCAGATCCAGATTAGTGGTGTACTGTTTTTGTCTTCAAGAGTTATTGCCTTGTATAATTGTGATGTTTATTGCTTTATGCAGAAAAATTCTCACGGTGTTTGTATTTGTTTATAGTGAAAATTTAATATACAGAACCTAATCCTTCCTCTTTACAAGAAAGTCATCCTTTCTATGCATGATTTAGAATAATGTTTGTTATGTTTTGGTTAATATTGTTTGTTTTCTCCTTTGGAGTTGTTCTAGTTCTGTTTTCATGAGTGGTTGTTGTTGTTGTTGTTATTATTATTATTATAACCTAAACATTCCTTAAAATATAAATCAAAAACTCATACTCACATTTCAATTGCATTTAAATCTTCTTTCTAAATAAATTAAAAATAATTTTATTATGTATTCAGAAAAATTAATTAATTAATTTCATTAATGCAAAATGTAATTTATTATATAATTAATACATAATAATGAAATTATAAAATATTGCTATGTATAATTTATCAAGGCCATCTGCTCCAAAGCAGATGGCCTTGACTATAACTCTTGGCGAATCTTCTAGGTATTATTCTAGGTGACTCCCACTCCAATCAAAAGTTTCATTTTTTAAATTACAAGTTTTTAAGATAAAACAGATATATTATTGAAGATCTGAAATTTTTGTTCATTTATTTATGTAAAGTAAAACTTTTGGTCACATACAATATAGTTAATAATACAGGATTTTAGCATCATTCTCTGTTCTCTAAAGTTGATTGAATGCTTAAGAGAAGAAAAATGAGTGTGTCATTTTTCTTCTCTTAAGCATGTCATTATAACTAACAGAAAATGATTTCTGATAGAAAAAGTATAAAGTTTAGTTTCATAAATCTAAACTTTACATAAAACATGATTATTATAATATATTCATTTTCTACGCAGTGAAATTTTGGGATCTCTGCTACGAACTATATTTTCATTATATATTAATATTAATTTATAATTTATCAATTTGTGTTTTGTTATTTTCAGAAATTTTGCAAATTTTTTATAAATTTCCAGAAAAAAGTCCTGCATTAATACCTTAATATATAAAGGAAATCATGTATTAATACCTCAATGGTTTTTATAGATTTTAAATTGAAATATTTATTTTTGTTTCATAAAATCCAGTGGATCAAACATTATATTGTTTCTTTCCATAAAAATATTAATAACAATATTTATAGTATTGCTTTATATTAAATAAATAGAAATTTAAAATTCATAAATAAAACATATTCTTGTAAAAGTTTTGTGTCATTAGTTTCATTATTTTGGATGATGATAATGATGATAATAATAATAATAATAATAATAATGGCTTGGATAATAATTGGATAATAATGTCACAATTAGATGATAATAAAATTTTAATCATTTATGAATGAAAAAACATATTAATTGTAATCATAAAAGTTATTACAAAAGATATCTAATTTATTAAAATATTTATATAAATTCAATATTGTTAATATTTTTCTTACCAAGCTTGCTGCTAATTTTCTTCCAATTGTTCTACTAACAGAATTTGAAATTTTTTTTTTAATTTTATGAGGTGCACTTGCAATACTAAAATCATTTTGTAGAATATGACTGTAAAGTTCCAAATGAAATTCAAAATTTGGAGGAATATTATTACTGAAAGAAAAAATAATTAAGTTAAAAATCACTTATGACAAATATTTTATTTAATCAGAAAAAACAGATAATATAATATTATAGTATATAAAAGTATTTGAACAAATATCTGACTGAAAATTTTTTTTAAATTTAATAATTTTAAACAGTCTGTGATTATATAACTTCTAATATCTCTTACATATTTTTATATTTCTTGAACTAAGTTTTATTTAGTTCTGATATTTTTAAAACTACTTCAATAATCTCAATTGACCAAACTATAAACGAAATATCATTTTTGAATGCATTAATACAGTAGAGCGTTGTTTATCCGAAGCAATTGGGGACTGGGGTTGTTCGGATAACTTATTTTTCGGATAACCGATTATGTACAAAAAAATATATTAACCTATTCCATGTTGAAATTTTTCTCCGTTGCATATCGCTTTGCGTTGAATTTTCATTGATGTTAAGCCTAACGTAAATTTTTTAAAATAATAATTAGGACTACTGTATCATTAAAAATTATTTCTTTATTTTGTACAAACAAAATAAATATATTGAAAAATATAAAAACAAAAATATTATATTTTGAAAGTTAACTTAGTGTCAAAAACGTTCGATTTAGCATGACACAGTCCGACTGGAATGCTTTTGGTTAACCGATGTTTTGGCTAATTGGCTTTCGGATAAAAAACGCTCTACTGTAATACATTATGATCCCAAAATATATTTTGTACTCATAATGTACAGTACCAAATGATCATAATTATAAAGTACCCCTATTCAATACTGTTTATAAAGTTTAGCAATCCAAATGCAACCAAATTTGGTATGGTGACATTTCAGGACATGCAGAAGACATTTACATTAAAAAAATTTGTACTAAAACTCACTATTACAGCATTTTTGGTACTTTAGATCTTAGTTCATGTGTTTTTGGTTGTGAGGGTTATCAAGGAAATTTTGCAATTTTGGTAGCCTTGAAAGATAGAACTCTGATTTTTCTCACATTGCATGTGAGAAAAATCAGAGGGTCAATTATATTGAGCATTGCCTTCAGAAAAGAGCCACATTGAACAGGATCTCTTGCATTCCTGAGATTTCTTATGCAACATGAATTTCTTGTACAAATAAGATATTTATTGCTTGCAGCATCATAAATGCTATAGTGTACTAATTGATTTTTATGAAAATGTCTTTTTCCATTCTTAAATGTTATCATATCAAATTTGATTGTATTTAAACTACTAAATATCTCTCTACATCAATGACAGTAAACCTGTAACCTTCAAATGATTTCAGCATCCATGTTGAATCTTTAGAAAGTATTATTAGATTTTTATATTATAAAAAATATTTGATAGATTTCAAAAATTTGCATATGTAGTGTGAAAGCAGGATCATAAAGCTGCCATGGAAAGTCTTAAAGGCCAATAATTATGAGCCTCATAGAAAAATTATCAAACAAACAAACAACAGATTTCCTATTAAACAAAATATTTGTGTCCATTATAATCACATTATTATTTTCTTTTCACTTATATATTGATCGAATTTATTGTTATTTTTCTGTTATAAATTAAAGAGTTAAGTAAAGTAAAACTTGTAAGCATTGTTTTCTTATTTTATAATTACTCAAATTAAATATTTGGATCATAATTTGGAGTTAATACATTTTGAATTCAAATTTGACCCATCTTTGGAAAAAGGTTTGCTATCACTGCTGTAGACAGTGTTGTATAACAGTTTTTTAATTATGATTATCTGATATTATGTCTAAAGATGAATAGAAATATTTGAAGAACATTAGCAATTTTCATTATAGTAAAACATTCCAATAAATTGTATTTTTTCTATTGCTTCTTTTCTGAGTTTTGATTTAATTTTTAATTTTAAAAAATATTTTCTTTCACATATAAACTCTAAAACAAGCACTTATCAATCTTTCTAACAGAATTGTGAAATTATGTATAAGCAATTATATACTTTCAGGAAAGCAAAAATATTTAATTTTTTACATCTTGGAAAGTTTTATAACAACAAAGTTATCATATAACATAAAAGATAAACATATCAATATTTTATGTCAGGACTGATACCTAAGAAATGTAAACCCACTGACTCATGATCATAAGCAACACAGAAGCTAATGATATAATCTTTATGTTCTGGATACTATAATCACCTTTCAGATAGTCATTTGCAGGAAAACAAGGGAACTCTTGAAGAAAATATTAAACTGAAGATCCAACATTTGATATATACATATCACATAGCAATTAGATATCATACTGAAACATTCTGATTCCTATCACTATAAACTATCCTATATTATCAACATAAAGTTTAAAAAAATAGTATTTCAAAAATATTTAAAATAGATTTATAAAGTATTAATGTAATTCTGATTTAAAATTAAATAATTGTTCAAATTCATGTTTTAAAAAGTTTTAAATGATCCAACAAGCTTTTAATTATGCTGATTCAATTTTTATAATAACAAAAGTAAAGACACTGAGTTCAGTGTTACATGCATATTTTTTTTTTCTTTTTATCGCTAAAAAAAAAAAAAAACGTATGCATATAACGCTGAACTCAGTGTCTTTATTTTTGTTATTATACATTAATTTGGTGTGATAGTCATCCTATTGATTACTGATTCAATTTTATAATGCTACCTAATGTTCTGAAATTGAGTCATTCTAAAAATGCATAGATTTAAAAACAGTTAAGAATAAAACTTTTTTGTTTTCCATTCCTTAACTGGTTATTACACAATATATTAAAACAAAAAGTTTTTATTGTATTTTAAAATTAAATATACAGGACTGTAACCACTGAAACTTTCAATACTTACAAAACAATTACATCTTCAAATGATATATCTGTGACATTACGATCTATATTATTAATTAAAGCTGTGTCATATATTTCTGTTCCAATCTTCAGCAAACAAAAAGCAACAAAACGTCGACAATCTCCTTTATTTTTAAAATGATCACTATCTTTCCAAATCAATGGCATTCTAATATCTAAATAAAAATTACAATTGTTATATATAAATATTAATTTAATAATAAAATTCAATGTAATTTATAATCAGGAAATATTTGAAAATGTATCAAGTAACATGATACATGATGATTAAGAAAAATTGTTTATAAAAAGTTCAATGACATAATTAAATCAGGACAAATGATACATTTACTTTGTATTTTTCTTTTCTCTGAAATTTTATTTATTTAGGTACATTTTATCATTTATTAAAATTTAAATAATTATTTGAATATTTAAATTCTGACTTTAAATTAAACCATAAGCATTATAAAATAGTATGATACTCACACCAAATATTAGTAGTAGGAAATAGAGTTCACTGTGTACGGCATTACACAGTGAACTCTACTTCCTACTACTATAAGCATTATTATAAAAAAGTAATAATTTTTATTATTTTTAATAGGTAAACAATGATATAATTTGATTATTTAATTTAATATCATATTATAAAGTTGCACTAAGATATGTCTTAATTTTTTTTAATGAACAAAAATTTTTAAAATATAAAATAAATTTTATTTTGAAATATTTAAATTCAAGCAATCAAAAAATTAAATTTCTTTGAAATTATTCTGATCAGTACTCAATTAATTTAACATTAATATAAATTTATAAGAATATAAGAAACCTGTTAAAATTGTTATTGATATTTAATTAAACATAAATATTGTAATATAAACTCTTGATGATAAAACAATATATTTTGTTTTAAATTTTCTAAGCAGACAAAATATTTTAACAGGGAGTGAGTTTGCCAAAAGTACATTACTGTACTTTTGGAAAACCTACCTTCCCTTTAATTCTGTGAACAATAGTTTGTGGATCCCATGACATTGAAGAAATGACAGGTTATTGTAGAATCTTACCAGACAAAATCCCAACGAAGAAAAATATATTAAGGGTATTTTAAACTGTAAATTTTAACTGAAAATATTCAATAATAATTAATATGATAACCATAATTTTCCAACACAGTTATTTAATAGAATGACAAATGTCTTCAAGCAGATTCAGTATCAAAGTTCAGTCCCATGTTTTTTACTATTTGCAGTTATATTCTATTTTGAAACATAATACTCATGATCACATTTTTTTTCAATTTGCATTTTATTCTTATGTTTGAACAATTTACACATGTTTCTTTTTAAATTAATTAATTTATTTTATCATAAACATCAAAGTGAGGCTAATATACCATAAGCATATGTTTGTGCAAGGCTGAAAAGATCAATTTTGTACTTGGATAAATGTTAAAATGGTACCTTGTATATTTTTTCTTTTGGTAAGAAACTAGGATGATAGAATTTTCCATTTGATAGGAATTTATCTGGTAGGATTCTGTAACTGAGCCAAGAAATAAATAAAAAGTTCTGCAAATTCACATGACCAGTAAGGAAGCTTATAACAAATTTGTGCACCTGCTAATACTAATAAACAAGTCCATGTAGACAATATCAGCTCAACCCCCTCCCTCCCTCCCTCTTGTGTGGAGTGATGTACTTTTTACAACCCTTCCTTAAATTGTACACATAATTAATGGACAACCCCTTATCTGAAGGTGAAGAAAACAAATATCCAAAAATCTCTATACATTAAAAAATAATACTTCTTCTTTATAAAAAGATATAATTTACAGCATCAGTTTCTTTTATAATAAAGAGTATAATCTCATTTTCTTACTAGTTAAAATTAAATAATATGCCTACAAGAATAATATGACTGCTTTACTATAGATCTATAAAAGATAAAAATTATTTTCTGGATAAGAGAATCCATCAAATCAAATAATTATACAGTACAAAGACAAAATTTTTGAAGTTATTAAAAACTTTTTAAATTAATTAATGCATAGCTTTTGTCTGTTTCATTTAACTACTCACTTTAGTGTGAAAGTATTTGTCTTTTTTATCTCTGGTGCAAACATGAAATATCAGGTCAATCAATATGTTTGTAATTTATAAATAAAAACTGACTACAGTGTAATATCTCTAATTTACTTTTAAAAGACTGAAATCATACATATATTTTAAATCATAAAAGTATTTCAATTTGTTTTAAATTTTCTAAGCAGACAAAATATTTTAACAGGGAGTGAGTTTGCCAAAAGTACATTACTGTACTTTTGGAAAACCTACCTTCCCTTTAATTCTGTGAACAATAGTTTGTGGATCCCATGACATTGAAGAAATGACAGGTTATTGTAGAATCTTACCAGACAAAATCCCAACGAAGAAAAATATATTAAGGGTATTTTAAACTGTAAATTTTAACTGAAAATATTCAATAATAATTAATATGATAACCATAATTTTCCAACACAGTTATTTAATAGAATGACAAATGTCTTCAAGCAGATTCAGTATCAAAGTTCAGTCCCATGTTTTTTACTATTTGCAGTTATATTCTATTTTGAAACATAATACTCATGATCACATTTTTTTTCAATTTGCATTTTATTCTTATGTTTGAACAATTTACACATGTTTCTTTTTAAATTAATTAATTTATTTTACCATAAACATCAAAGTGAGGCTAATATACCATAAGCATATGTTTGTGCAAGGCTGAAAAGATCAATTTTGTACTTGGATAAATGTTAAAATGGTACCTTGTATATTTTTTCTTTTGGTAAGAAACTAGGATGATAGAATTTTCCATTTGATAGGAATTTATCTGGTAGGATTCTGTAACTGAGCCAAGAAATAAATAAAAAGTTCTGCAAATTCACATGACCAGTAAGGAAGCTTATAACAAATTTGTGCACCTGCTAATACTAATAAACAAGTCCATGTAGACAATATCAGCTCAACCCCCTCCCTCCCTCCCTCTTGTGTGGAGTGATGTACTTTTTACAACCCTTCCTTAAATTGTACACATAATTAATGGACAACCCCTTATCTGAAGGTGAAGAAAACAAATATCCAAAAATCTCTATACATTAAAAAATAATACTTCTTCTTTATAAAAAGATATAATTTACAGCATCAGTTTCTTTTATAATAAAGAGTATAATCTCATTTTCTTACTAGTTAAAATTAAATAATATGCCTACAAGAATAATATGACTGCTTTACTATAGATCTATAAAAGATAAAAATTATTTTCTGGATAAGAGAATCCATCAAATCAAATAATTATACAGTACAAAGACAAAATTTTNTCTTCTCTAAGTTATTCCTTAGAAATGATGACTTATTTTTCTTCTTATTCTATTCAGTTATAATCTAATATTAATAAATATTCTATTTTCTACAAAACTATTTGATTTCTTATAAAACAGATTTTATTTCTGTCATTCTAAATTTTTCAGAACTTGATAGGCATTGATTTATTATAAAAATTATACAAATACTTTTTCTAAATTAATATATTTTTTATCTAACAATCTAGAACCTTATTCATTCAATAACTACATTTTTTATTTTAATTATCTGTTAATATTGAAGTTATTCTAAAAGCTAAAAATGTAAGCAATAATATTTAACAATATACACTGAAATTTGTTGACTATTTTTATTTTTAATTTAAATATAACCTTACCATTTAAGCATTATAACTGTAAATTATTCTATAATGAGACTACTTTCTGTTAATAAAATCTATGTAATATGAGTATTTTATACATATATGTCTATTATTTGATAACTTTTAAACTTATTCTAAAAGCTAAAAATGTAAGCAATAATATTTAACAATATACACTGAAATTTGTTGACTATTTTTATTTTTAATTTAAATATAACCTTACCATTTAAGCATTATAACTGTAAATTATTCTATAATGAGACTACTTTCTGTTAATAAAATCTATGTAATATGAGTATTTTATACATATATGTCTATTATTTGATAACTTTTAAACTTATTCCAATTAGGTTTTCAGTTCCATTTACACTTAATTTTATATCATTAGTTGTTAAAAAAAATTCAAATCTTGAAAACTTTAAATCTTTATTTTCATTAAAAAGAATGGAAAAATGAATTCAGTTTTCTTTTGTTACAGTTTTAATACAAATTTTTTAATCAATTTTTAGCATTTTTGTTGCTATCATGACTTTAAATTTCTTTTTCTAACTCTACCTTTGTTGCTATTGTTGTAATTATTTCTCTCTACTCTTTCATTTCTTTTTATTAAATTTTTAAAAATTCAATTTTGTATCTTGCTTTTTAAATTAAAATTTCTTCCATTTCATTTGCATGTATTCTTTCCTAAAGTCTGACTCTTCCCCTCCCTGTCATTCTTATCAATGTGAAGAAGTAATTTCATAACTGCAAAGCATTTTTAATAATAGTTATGATGCTGATGTTGTATCAATTATTTTTTTATTGCATTCATTAAAATTAAATTTTGCTATTGCTTTAAGTTGATTAAGTATAGTTTTTACATTAAAAGTCTGAAATTAAATATAATTTATAAATAAGCTAAAATCATCTGACTTTTATTCATATCAAAATTATATTTTTAAGTATTATATAATAGTACATTTAATAAATATTTATAATACTTAATATCACAGTTAAAGTAAGTATTCTTATCAATTTATCATCAATCATATGAGCCAATAAATCTAAATTATTTATACAATCTAAATTTTACAGATTACAAATTTACAATAATATATGACTGTTTACTGTTACTATCTACTGGGATTATAGCAATAATTAAATTTATTTAATAATAAAGATATCAATACAGTACTAAATTTTTGTTATGGCACAATTTTGATTACAACCGTAAACTGGAATCAATTTAGGAAAATTAATGTCAATTTTTTAAGTATAATTGTCATTTAAGAAGAGAAATCATATTTACAAAAATATGAAATTTTACATTTAATTGATTTTGCATCATATATTTTTAGAAGTCTTGTCATATAAATCTGTCTAAAAATGAGTGGTGTAAATCTGAAAATACTTGACTAGGTCTGATTTATTTTTTACAACCCTTCCTTAAATTGTACACATAATTAATGGACAACCCCTTATCTGAAGGTGAAGAAAACAAATATCCAAAAATCTCTATACATTAAAAAATAATACTTCTTCTTTATAAAAAGNCAATCTTTTTTTTTATTATTTATGAGTTTTTTTAGATCCATTTTCCTGATACTTTTTTCTTTAAAAATTACAGTTTTAATCAGAATTGACGATAAAAAAGTATTAAAAAGATAATAAAAAATAGTAGAGTTACTTCATTTATTTGATGCATTTGAGTAAAATATTCTCGAAAAAACTGTATTATAAAACATTGTGAATAAAAATTCCTGAGTTTTTTTTTAGTTTTAAATAATTCAGAAAAAAATATTTTTTTTTTTTCTTATCTTCTCTCCATGTTCTTTTTAGGTTCAGTTTTTGGAAGTTCAAAGTTGATAACTTGAGAGTCTTTCGATCATGGGATTACTTAGAAATTGGATGGAGAAAAACAAGAAAAAAAATAAAAATAAAATGTCAGAATTTGTGTTTGGATTTTTCATTTCAAAATTAGACTTTTTTTAGATTATAAAAACACAAAAAAATACATAATAAATTGTACTGTACAGTTATTTTTATTTCGCAAAATATATATAAAATAGAAATGTACGAGTAACAATATTAAATTATGAATGAGTAAATAATTATATAAAAGTATAATTAACGGAAATGAAGCGTTGAAAGAATATTATGGGAGTAATGAGACTAATGTAATTTGTTATAATTACAATGATGTAATTATTGACGATAGATGGAGCCATTACGAAACTCAATTTTCTTAGAATTAATGAAATTTACGACTAGATAAATATTACTACATTTATCTAGTATTTTGATACAGAATATATAAATTATATATAAATGAAAAGATAGTTTATAAAGGTCACGATAAAAGTTTTATTTATTTATCATTATTTAAAATGATTGAAATGATACAAGCATTGGTAAAGAATTGAGTCGACAGATGGCAGGAGGCGTTTCCGAAAAAAATACATCACTTAAAAAATACTAATAAATTCTAAAATAAATATATCTACAGAAATTACTTTTAAAAATTTTATCCAAATATTGAATTATTATAATTTTTTTTAAATTAAAAAAGAAATAAATAAAATTGTTTAAAATATATATTTATTAAAATTATCTACCGTAAGATGGCGCTATGTGTTAACTTTGACAATTGCATGTGTAGTATATATAGCAGTGTAAAATTCATATAATTTCACGTTACATTTTTGTTTTTTATTTAATTAATTTATTATAAGTTTCTTCTAAAATATAATATTTTTAATACCATACATTTGTATATCTTTCGAATTTAGTGAGTTTGATAAAAATATTTAATTGAAATTTTCCAGTTATTTCAAGTTTTTATATAAATGAATCGTCAACATTTTTACGAGATGTAAACACGACATTTATATACAATTTCTACTATTGTAAACCTAAGAATATTGCTATCAAAGAAACAGAGAATGTGTCGACGTGATAAATGTACCAAACTCCGGATTTGTCATGCTCAACCTATTCTATTTTCTCTTTCTATAACTTACACTATACATTAATTTCTTTCTCTTTAAATAAATAATCGTCAGAAATATTCTAATTTGTAACTCGTTATTCTGGATTTATTAATAAAGAGCTTAACTCTTTCAATAAAAAAGACAAATTTATTAAGTTTAATACATGTTTCGAATGAGTCCCAGTTCGATTTCGGTAATATCTCTTCGTATTATTCGATTTATAATTTAAATTATACTTGGTATTTATAGATATAAATCTATAGCTTATAAACCAATTTTCCAATAAATTTTGTTAACGATTGAACGAAAAAAAATGCGATAAATGTTAAGAAAATACAAGGTCCAGATGTAATCTTCCTAATTTAACGATCTAGTACTTCAAGGTCCTTTGCATAATTTATCCACTCAGCACAATTAGACATTAAAAAGACACTCAAAGAAATTATGTGTAGTTCCTGTATTTAGATAGGAAATGATCAGAAAATAATTTAGAAAAATAAAAAAAATTCTCTGATAAAATATTAAGATAACACTTATTAAGCNAAATAAATTTTTTTTTTAAATTATTCATATAGCACTTTCAAAAATAATAAATAATTAGATATGGTTGTAAATTTATTATTAACAGTTTATATATTTCCATAGGCATGACCCAGATTCAACATCAGAAAGAGTGGGAGATATGGTTGTCAGAGTTTGATATTTTCCTTGACACCAAGAAAACAAAATTACTTAGCTGAATATTAAATGTAATAGTTATCAAAACTGTTTTCAATTCATTTGTTTCGAAATCTATAAAGTTTTTGCACAGATTCTCACTTTTTTTAAATCAAAATTTAGAATAATGATTATGGCTACATTTTGTTATGTTTTATTAACATTCCAGTAATAAATCAATTATAATTTTAATTGAATATGAAATTTTTTATCATTAGAAAATATTAATAATACTTGAATCTTAAAGAATTATATTAAGTTCCTTTGCATTCTTTTTTATTTATTTCTTCAAAAATATAATTAATGGTACCATACGGATAACCCAAACAATTTCAAAATCAATTCCAATTTTTGAATATCCTATAACAAAATGCGATGATAGAAAAGTAATTCTAACTGGGTGAATCTAAATGTGGAAGAGTTCAGAGAAATGAAAAAATAAAAATACGACCTCAAGTCATCCACTACCAGGAAGTAATTAGTGATAACATTGTGGACTGGTTTCTAGTCTTGTATCACTAGATTTTATAATATAGTTAGTGAAAAGAACAAATTGATCATTAAAGAAATATGTGTGAACAGCTCAAGATCATTATCAAGCCATCAATACAACAAAAATGAGTCTTTTTTCCCCGTATGTTTTTTTATAAGATAACGGTTGACCAAGAATATTCAGCTTTACAAATGACATTATGAGAAAATTAGTTATGAAAATGTAACTCAATAATAAACAGATGGATATATTATATCGTTAATTTAATAATGAGTGTGTTATCTGCAGTAAATAGTTATAAATCGGTTTAATTACATTCAAGGATCCTAGTAATTAAATCCTTAAAACAGCTGATACGAAGTGACATTGATAGATGAAGGTCATTGTTCTTTATTGACAAACACGCTGTGCACATGTGAATTATTATAACAAAATGAAGTTAGTAAAATGTATAATTTGAAGAAAAATCTTACAAGAAAAACATGTCATTTACATTTAAAAACAAAAAAAAACTAATAAATAATCCATTTCAAATCATGAAATTGATTTTCATGTCTCTTTGTTTAACAATGACAACTCTTGAAAATAAATCGATTTCAACACGTGCAATTAGCTAAATATAAAACTTACCTGTATACTTTGAGCAATTTGTTTAACGAAATACAAATCCATATCTTGTATAATATTTAAATGACTAGGAAAACATGGCATCGATTTTCTTTTTGAATGAAACAAACGTGAATTATCTTGATAAATATAATGGTTGGCATCCTTCTCTTCATTCTTATCTACCAATCTCTTTTGTAGAGTTTCGTTAAAGTGATTGACTATGTCGAATATAGCAGACATGTTTTTAGGCAATAGGCACTTTCTCTACAAGCCAGTGTGGGTGACTATAGTGTCAGCGACCTTAACTGTGTCAAGAAGGTCACACAGATGCTCATCAGTGAAAGAGCTAAGCTTGACAGCATGTCGTGAGGGTGTTCAACACCGCCTGGTGACTAAAATAACGAAATTTGACAACTAAAACTTTATATTTCGGCTATTTATTTCGTAATTTCTCAAAAAAATATCCGGTAATTTATAGTTTTAATACTCTTAAAAATTTATATATATATATTTTTTAATCAGCTTATATGAAAAATATAAAAAAAGAAACTTTATTAGATAACAACTGTTTGACAGAAAAGCTGGAATTTGTATTTCAAACAAAATCTCACTCATTTAAGAGCTTTTCTACTCAAACTCGTAAAAAAAAGTGTGTAAATCAATTTATTTATTTAATAAAAATGTATAATAAGTTATTTAAATAAGTTAAAATTAATTTCACATTGATAAAAGGCGCATCTTTACTCATTTTCGGTCCTTCCTAACTTTACGAAAATTTGTTGCATCACTAATTGTAAATTTATAATTTATGTCGAGCACTTTAAAANTTTATTTCTCTCAAGTAGTGGCATAAGATAAAAGTTGTGTAATCTTTCTTGCATAGATAATTATTTCAGGCTTCGGCTGAACAGTCAGTTGGGCAGCATATTTAAGTAGATGGAGAATTAATGTCAGAAGGGAGTGATTTTAAAAATTCTACTAAATGAGAAAATTGTGTGATGCTTAATTGTTTCGTTACAACATTACTTGTTCATTTTTGAATTATTTATGATGAGTTTGCAGATGTATAATTTTAGTTTACTGTTCAGAATTTAAAATTTTGTATCTAATAATAGACGTCGAAAAATATCACTTCTCAAGAAACGTGTTATTTAAATGTTTAAAACTTGAAAAACTATATTTAAAATTTGCTAAAGAACTTTATTTTTAAATAAGATATTTTAAAGTATGGAAATTAAAATTTATTATTTAAAAAAATAATCTAAATGCTAATATCTAACTACTAAATTACATTTAAAAACAAGATTTATCTGATATTTTAAACAATCTTCCTATGTTTTTATATATCCATACATCTCTATTCACTCGAATTAAGTTAAAATTAAATTCGTAATAAATATTTTGATCATATTTCCGCTTAGAAACAATATTTTAAATGTGAATGATCATCCCTTCCCAAATCCCCGCCCTACACAGGAAACTCGTAGGGGATATATGGCCTTGGCCTTGTTATTTTGAGAGCCTTGGAGGCCCACTTACAGACCCAGAGAACATAATAAAGTATCTTATATTAATAAAGACACAAACTATAATTATAATGTATTTTTCAATTAACTTATACGAAAAAAAAATCATAAAAAATTTGTTGAAGAAATTCAATTAACTCTTCTTTTCTGTATAAATTATTTATAAGTTTTAATGGAAAGACAAAGTTTTAAGCTAGTTACAAATGAATCATTTTGTATATATCTTATACAGCAATACTAACAGATTTCAGTGATTAAAAATAATTTTAAAAATTACAAAAGTGAATAAAGCTGCTTTAATGAGATAAACAATACAAAGTAAATTATTTTTTTCTATAAAAAGAAACATAAAGATGCTTTGCATTTCATTTAAAGGTCCATTATAATATTATTCAACTATCAATACGAGCTAATTAGAAAGTAAAAATGACGTATATGAAAGCTTTTAACTGATCATCATCTAAAAACCAGTCTTTTTTTATTTTTATTTTTTTGTAATATCTCCCTATTTTATTTCAAGGTCAGTGTAAAAATGGATCATTGATTTTTAAATATTTACTAAAAAAATATAGGATGGAAAGAATATTTTTCAGTAGACATGAAGAATGGCTGTATTAAATGGATGTTAATAAACGAACACGCAAGGAAATTAAGTCTCTTTTGATTTTAAAGAAATAAAAATTGTCAGAATTAAATTTTAATATATAATTTTTCTTAAATATTTCTGTACATGTAAATGCTAACTGAAAGAAACTGGATTGTATAGATAGTAAATGTAGCACCACGCTTTAGTGGATTTCATTATAGCTCTGGAGAGGAAAGAAATTTGATATTGTTTATCACTTAGAAGAATGTTTCTGGCAAATCGCTTCTTCTCGTGTCCTGTCGAGTTTATACTATTTGTGGCTGTCAGCCAATTTAGTTGTCACTAAAATTCTTTTAATTAAACTATATATATTGATGATATCTATATTTTATCAAATTAAATATTAATTATAAAATTATTAATTGCGTTTATACAACGTTATGTAATTGTTGATTTTAATTTTGTATAAATGTAATTTATCTCGATTAATTTTAATGTTTAATCAAGACGAGGAGAATAATTAAATTCAATTAATTGTTCCACGCCCTTTCGACTAAAATGCAACAAAAATATTCAAATATTCAAAAGATAGATGTTGAACATCTAAAAAATTGCTCAAAAAACGAATATTCCCGGTTAAAATTTCAATAAAAAAAGTTTAAATTTCAAGTTAAAATATCGAAAATAAATAAAATAATATAATACTTATATAATATTTAAAACTAAAAATAAATAAATCACAATTTTATACATCAGTTTGTCTATGAGATATATCAAAATATATGATTTTAAAATAAAATTAAATAAATAAATAAATCTCACCTCACTTGTATGATTCGAAGAACCTTGAGGACATTCTTGTACAATAACGTCCATTATTTTACAAAAATCGATAATCGATGTACTTCATTAAAAATAATTTTAAGATAATGTATAAAAAATATTCGAGATTTTCTTACTCTTCTCACAAGACATGTGGTTAGCAATGAAAGGAGCTGCAATCGCCATGTTTGTGACGTAGAGGATCCGTTGTCATGGTAACGTGAACATCATCGATTTCCAGGTATGAGCAGGTGATTTTCGGGAGTTTATCCGAAGTGAAAGCATCTTGGATGATTCGCTAAGAATCGCATTCTGATTAATTAAACATTGTTTCCGCGTGAGAACACGTGTTTTATTTTTTAAAATTTTAATTTTTTAAAGTACTTTTTCTTTTTAAAACGGGGATATTTTCAACAATTTTAAGGATATATATAAATATATTTATTTATTAAAATTATATAAAGTATCAGGACCCATTATAGAATATAAGATTTATTTTTTTTATGTTGTAAGATATTACTCAATAATGAAAAATCATCACTTGGTTTTTTTTTGTTATTTTGGTTTTTAATCAGGAATAGCATGTTTAAGTTGAATGTGCTGTTTTGTCTCGATAATGTAAACATAAGTAAAGACAAAACCGGAAGTTACCCAAACTGTAACATTACAAAAATATATTCAAGGTCGCAATTAAATGAAAGCACTTGACCGTAATTGTTGAGTGAATTTTAGGATATGTGAAGTGGATATAATATATTTTTTAGACATAAAAAAAATTTGCAAAAGAGAAAAAAAAAAGAGGAAGTGTAAACTTCGTGTTAGTTGCTGATATGATTAGAATTGATTGTGAAAGAAGTTTTTCCAAAAAATTACATATTCAAAATGTCTTTACATTTCCCTTTAGATATTTGCAAAAAAGTAATGGTAAAGTTGAGTTTTTTTTAAATTATTATGAATAAAATATACAGTATCGATTAAAAATACAGTATATTTTAATTTTATTTATTCGCCGAATGGTTGCATACACAGGACAAATTACAAGTTGAAAACGTGACTAGTGAAGCTAGTNAATTTAACGAACAGTTATGCTTGATAAAGATAATCTAAATTAAAATAAAATAATTTTTAAGTAAAAACATTTATAACATTAATTAATAACATTTATAATTGTTGGAAAATCTCTTAAAAGATGTTAAAAATGTATTAAAAGTCTGACTTTCATCAGTAGAAAAATCTAACAACGTAGGAGTATTTATATTTTATCCTTGAAAGATGAAGTAAAGGTAAGGCATGCTTTCATTACTTTCATACAAAGTGCTTACCTTTGTATTTATAAAACAGAAATGCACACTCTGTCCAAAAATTCCATATATATATCTTTGCATGTCTATACTTTATTCCTGCGGCGATTTTCAGCTTTTGTCAATAATTTCTGTCGATTCTAACGTTACATTTCAATCACGTTTATTGCTTTTTCTCTCTCTATCTCTTCAAACATGCGAGTCACCATATAGAAGTACTATATTGTACTGGAAATATCAGAATAAATAATAGAGTAAAAACTGTCCTACTTTTAAAGCATTTGTTCTCTGGCTAACTTATCGACACTTTTTTAAACAATACACTTTCTTCTTTGTATAACTATTTGAATGAATTCAATAGGTAAATAAGAGGTGACGAAAGCGATATTATTATTATTTTGTGTCCCTGCTGAGTTCTAGCCTCTAGAAGAGTATAGTGACAGGAAACGGTGACATTCTTTTATTCAATTGACACCGATTTCTTTACAGAACGATAGCTATAATATATGTATAAAGTTGGATAAAAGATTATATATAATCTATTTTATACTATTTTCTTGCTTTAAACACTGTATATAATTATTGGCCTTGAAGCTTTTAGATCTAGAAAGTCTATATACTGTATATTATACGCCTCATTTGATTTTTCATTGTTTAGATCTTTAATCAAATCTTTGTTGCATGAAAGGATAATTAGATATTTTTATAATCTTTTAAATTATATTGGATAATTAATGCTATAGGTAAAGCTTAAGTTTAACTTCCATAAGAAAAAATATATTTAAAAATTTATTACATATATAATAAAGATATTCTGTATTCTTAAGTACAATACCTTACATAATTTATCAATTTTATAAAATTAGTTTAATAAAAAAATTATTATAAATTTTTATAAAAATTGTGAAATGAATAGTAAAATATGCTTTTTTTTTTTTAAATAGAAATTATAGCAATTTTAAGTAAATGGTTAAAGAAACATACTGTATATAAAAATCATCTTTT